GTGTACAACTATAAAACAAATCTTATGAAATCCTAGCTTTTCTCTCGTTCTTGTGCGTATATGACAGAACGGTCTAATGTAAGAAAAGGGTATAAGAAATTTATATCTGACACCCAATTTTCTGCATGTGATGTCACAATGGGACAACAGTGACATGACATCACGAAATTAGGATCATTCTGTTGCCACAATTCGAAAATTGCCATGCTGTTTCCTGGTTTCTGAGCTAATCTGGTGAACGGAACGACAGAAAAATACTCTTTTAAGACGATGTCCTGGAAATGACAACCAATAAGAACTAAGGGAGTACATGTTACATAAAAAACACACAGTCATCTTCCACATCAGCCATCTTCAATGAGGAAGTCCAGTTGTACCTGTAATCTTATTATGTACACTGACTCTGCTCTACTTCAAACTCTGTCTGCAGAATATCACAATTATGCAAGAATGCCCTAGTTTAGCTGAATTACATAAGTATTTTATGGTTGAAGTTTATGCTTGTTTGGAAAGCAAAGTGTGACAGACAAACAAACTGAGAATTTAGTGAGAAAGTATTATATGTAACTATTGGCAAGATCATAAACACTCAATGACCTGTTGACTTTTTCCTGCGGTGAGCACAGGCATAAAATGGTACTAGCTATTGCTATAAAAATAAATGTGACTTTGGTGATCTTATCTTTTACAGTCAACCAGCAGTATTCCTGGCATTGTTATCTATTACTTTCTAACTTAACATCTATTGAATCTCGTTATATAATCAATACACCACAACACGTCAAAAGACTTTTTGTCATGTCAATATTTTAATTAACAAAAGTATTTTCTAGGCATTAACTGATAATGGAGTATTGAACTGCCTTCTGCACATTTAATACTTCAACTCATCATTGATCTTTTATCAAACTTTTGAGAGAGATATTGTATTTTCTGTTCGAATTCAACACATGGAACAGCCAACAGACGGTATCAGCTAGTAATCTCCAAATTGTGATGTCGCAATTGTAACGATAATTGAAAATCACCACACCGGAATTAATAAATCAGGATTTGTATTATTTATGATGTAGAATTACAAAGTAATGTAAAAATGTAATGACATGTCCCCAGGTGAGCCTACAAACCTCTAGCGTGTCTACTCTGATCAGTAGGCCAGTTGGAAATGAATGTACCTTTACATCAAAGCTGTTAACTTAAATGCTCTTTATTAATGATTTACTTTTATAGATGCAAAGTATACAGGCAGTAAATTGTGGTCCACTTAGAACATACTTTTTGAAAATCTTGTATAATTTGCATAGCAATTTTATATTTTTTTTTAACTCCTAACTTAAATAATAGACATTAAAGGTAGCTATAGAATACAATGACAATTGTTGTCTTTGTAGTTATAGAGACTGCCACAAAGGTAAATTACAATGGTTGTCTTGGTAGTTATAGAGATGGCCACAAAGGTAAATTACAATGGTTGTCTTGGTAGTTATAGAGACTGCCACAAAGGTAAATTACAATGGTTGTCTTGGTAGTTATAGAGATGGCCACAAAGAAAAATTACAATGGTTGTCTTGGTAGTTATAGAGATGGCCACAAAGGTAAATTACAAAGTCTTTGTAGTTATAGAGACTGCCACAAATGTTAATTACAAAGTCTTTGTAGTTATAGAGACTGCCACAAAGGTAAATTACAATGGTTGTCTTGGGAGTTATAGAGACTGCCACACACGTCCATTACAATGGTTGTCTTTGTAGTTATAGAGAATGCCACAAATGTTAATTACAAAGTCTTTGTAGTTAAAGAGACTGCCACAAAGGTCAATTACAATGGTTGTCTTTGTCGTTATAGAGACTGCCACAAGGGTCCGTTACAATGGTTGTCTTTGTCGTTATAGAGACTGCCACAAATGTTAATTACAAAGTCTTTGTAGCTATAGAGACTGCCACAAAGGTCAATTACAATGGTTGTCTTGGTAGTTATAGAGACTGCAACACACGTCCATTACAATGGTTGTCTTTGTAGTTATAGAGACTGCCACAAAGGTCCGTTACAATGGTTGTCTTTGTAGTTATAGAGACTGCCACAAAGGTAAATTACAAAGTATTTGTAGTTATAGAGACTGCCCCAAAGGTAAATTACAAAGTATTTGTAGTTATAGAGACTGCCACAAAGGTAAATTTCAAAGTCTTTGTAGTTATAGAGACTGCCACAAAGGTCCGTTACAATGGTTGTCTTTGTAGTTATAGAGACTGCCACAAAGAAGAATTACAATGGTTGTCTTGGTAGTTATAGAGACTGCCACAAAGAAGAATTTCAATGGTTGTCTTTGTAGTTATAGAGACTGCCACACAGGTCCATTACAATGGTTGTCTTTGTAGTTATAGAGACTGCCACAAAGGTCCATTACAATTGTTGTCTTTGTAGCTATAGAGACTGCCACAAAGAAGAATTACAATGGTTGTCTTAGTAGTTATAGACACTGCCACAAAGAAAAATTACAATGGTTGTTTTTGTAGTTATAGGGACTGCCACAAAGGTCCATTACAATGGTTGTCTTTGTAGTTATAGAGACTGCCACAAAGGTTAATTACCACGGTTGTCTTGGTAGTTATAGAGACTGCCACAAAGAAGAATTACAATGGTTGTCTTTGTAGTTATAGAGACTGCCACAAAGGTTAATTACAACGGTTGTCTTGGTAGTTATAGAGACTGCCACAAAGAAGAATTACAATGGTTGTCCTGGTAGTTATAAAGACTGCCACAAAGGTCAATTACAATGGTTGTCTTTGTAGTTATAGAGACTGCCAAAAAGGTCAATTACAGTGGTTGTCTTTGTAGTTATAGAGCCTGCCACAAAGGTAAAATACAATGGTTGTCTTTGTAGTTATAGAGACTGCCACAAAGAAAAATTACAAAGTCTTTGTAGTTATAGAGACTGCCACAAAGGTCAATTACAATGGTTGTCTTGGTAGTTGTAGACACTGCCACAAAGTTAAGGTAAATTACAATGGTTGACTTTTTAGTTATAGAGACTGGCACAAAGGTAAATTACAATGGTTGTCTTTGTAGTTATAGAGACTGCCACAAAGGCAAATTACAGTAGTTGATTTGTGTTGTTTTATTGTTTCCTCTATATTCGACAAAAAAAAGACCAGATTTAATAAATTTGAATTGTTGTTGTTTTTACCCTGAAAAGACAAAACAATGAAATTTAAGTTTGGTTGATTCCCATTTTTCTGGGGTAAAAAATGAAACAAGAATTAAGGTTTGTTAGTTCTCATCTTTTTGGCCCGAAATGATGAAACAAAGAAATATTACAGATCAGTCACCGTAGAATATAAGGTTGTAACTGATCATGAGTAACATATATAATAAACCATTGTACAGAGATTTTGTAAAAAAGATTTGTAACAATGTACAGAGATTTTGTAAAAAAGAGTTGAAACAATGTACAGAGATTTTGTAAAAAAGAGTTGAAACAATGTACAGAGATTTGTAACAATGTACAGAGATTTGTAACGATGTACAGATATTTGTAACATTGTACAGAGATTTGTAACATCATACAGAGATTTGTAACAATGTACAGAGATTTGTAACAATGTACAGAGATTTGTAACAATGTACAGAGATTTGCTACAATGTACAGAGATGTGTAATCTCGTACAGAGATTTGTAACATAGTACACTGTTGTTACAAATCTCTATTCTACAGAGATTTGTAACGATGTACAGAGATTTAAAAACAGGTTTCACCTAACCAAAAATAATTAAATAGTTAACCAGACACATTTAAATATAAATGTTTCCTTATTCAAGGTCACCACATACATGTTCTCTCTGGATTTAGGAGGTACATTTAGAATCGATTGTTCTGTTTTCATGCAAAATAAAAACAAGAATGGTACAAATGGTCTTTTTATAATCATTTTAACTATTACAATAATTTTAAACTGTTTCTTTAATATTTCACGGAAATTTCCACATGAAGTTTGTGAAACTTTAAACTTTAGATAAAAGTGAAACTTACAAAATACAATCAGATTTAAAATTTAAAAAATGCATTCAATTTGAGGTTATCTACAGTTCATTCAAGTTAAAAACTGTAACTGCTGACAGAACCAAGCTTGGACATAGGATAAAAGCTGCATGCAGAAAAGGTGCCCAAATTTGAAATTGTGCTTTAAGATTGAAGAGTTTTACTTAATCAAAATCGTAATAATAAAATGGTATACATTCCAATTGTCATGCTCTGTACTGTGGGCAAGTTGTGAACGCAGGAGGACATCTTGGTTTGTAAATTTGAGAAGGACACAACTACCCACAAAGTCCCTTGCTAGGTAAAACTGTCACTCAAGGCAGCAAGACAAGGCTGTTATGAATATCCGCTCCATGGATTGGATGTGGCCACATGAACAGCATACATTAAACAGCTTCACCCTTATTATTACCCAGCCTGACCAACAACTAAGCTGTACTCATTGTCTAAGTGAGACGAAGATTAAATACACTTTGGCAAACATCAGTTAATAATCAATCTAAAAGAATAAAAAGCAACTGGACCCTAACATGTCGAGAGATTTACCACAGAATAAAAGTGATGCCTTTCCCCAGAATCCCCTGTGAATTAGAAAATTCCATTACCTCGGAAGGCTTCAAATGAAAGTTCTGCATGACCAACTTGAGGTAAAGCATTTCTATTTGATTTGATTCGCTCTGAATATGCTGGCCATGAAAATGGTACTGGAAACCATACAAAAACATGCATCAAGCGACTTTATGTAAAAAGAGCAACACTTTAAGTAACAGCTATCATGTCATTAGTTAGCACAGTGCTGTTGTGGGTGAAGCAGATCAATGGAATTAGGGTATGGTATAATGCACCAAAGAGTTAAATCAAACTCCCATCCAGAATACCCATACATTGATCCTGCTAAAATTAATTAAATAATGGCCATCACGAAGGTAGACATTATTGAAGATAAATGGTAGAAAGCACTCACCCAGTAACTGTTGCTGCTATTGTCCAACACACAAGGGCTTACAACTTGCTGCAGTGTGCTCCTGGCTGGCTCCAGTAAAAGTTGCCGGAGAGCTCTCCTCACTGTACTGTCCCTACACCGTGATCCGGTCCCAACTTAGAAACAGGCAGCACTCTCCCCGCAGCCTAGTAAGGCCTGCCGTATCAATAGTTGGCAATCACTCCTCGGTACCGTGCCTCGCGCGCTTCTCCAGCTTCGCCTCACAGAACCCTTAATGACGTCATCTCCAAGCGCTCTGATCGCTCTCAAGTGTTCTTAAATAATGCTGTTTCCTAGCCCTTCTGATCGCCCCAACAGTACCCTTTAGTGTGTGCACTCGATCTACAATAGCAATAAAGGAGAAAAGTGACAGGCGTTTAAGGAAAAGTGAGGTCTTTCAGAGCTGCCTCAATGGTCTGGCAAACAGGTTAAATCATTGTTTGGTAGGCGCCACATATTCATACTAGATGGTCTAAATTTCAGATCACATGTATAAGTCTATAGTTAACAGATGTGTTCGGCAGCAGAACAAAATGCCGTCAAGTGTGGACAGATCTTCCTGGTGCCTACAGAATAGCTAGCTCTCATTCAAATAAAGTAGACATCAAACACAGAGTTACCACTGCCTAAAGGCGGCTACACACCTTCTGTAGTAGCTTTTTATCATCTCTATATTCAAGGACTTTTTCAGGAAGTGCAAAATAGAGTCAAAATCAAAAGTTCTGGTTTGATGCTGGATTTTGAAAAAATTGGTCAAGAGAATGAAATTGACGATATATGACAAATATAATTATACTTTTAACTAATTGTAAAAGGAAAAATCCCGCCGAAGTGTCGAATATAAAAATGTCATAAAACCTGAACTTGGTGAAGCATTTCCAAAGTGGAGTTAATTATAAATTCTAGTAGGACCCTAATGTTCAACTAAAGTGGAGTTAACTATAAATTCTAGCAGGACCCTAATGTTCAACTAAAGTGGAGTTAACTATAAATTCTAGCAGGACCCTAATGTTCAACTAAAGTGGAGTTAAATATCAATTCTAGTAGGCCCCTAATGTTAAACTGAAGTGGAGTTAACTATAAATTCTAGTAGTACCCTAATGTTCAACTAAAGTGGAGTTAAATATCAATTCTAGTAGGTCCCTAATGTTAAACTGAAGTGGAGTTAACTATAAATTCTAGTAGTACCCTAATGTTCAACTAAAGTGGAGTTAAATATCAATTCTAGTAGGACCCTAATGTTAAACTAAAGTGGAGTTAATTATAAATTCTAGTAGGACCCTAATGTTAAACGAAAGTGGAGTTAACTTTAAATTCTAGTAGGACCCTAATGTTAAACTAAAATGGAGTTAATTATAAATTCTAGTAGGACCCTAATGTTCAACTAAAGTGGATTTAATTATAAATTCTAGTAGGACCCTAATGTTAAACTAAGGTGGAGTTAACTATAAATTCTAGTAGGACCCTTATGTTAAACTAAAGTGGAGTTAACTATAAATTCTAGTAGGACCCTAATGTTAAACGAAAGTGGAGTTAACTTTAAATTCTAGTAGGACCCTAATGTTAAACTAAAGTAGAGTTAACTATAAATTCTAGTAGGACCCTAATGTTAAACTAAAGTGGAGTTAACTATACATTCTAGTAGGACCCTTATGTTAAACTAAAGTGGAGTTAATTATTAATTCTAGTAGGACCCTAATGTTCAACTAAAGTGGATTTAATTATAAATTCTAGTAGGACCCTAATGTTAAACTAAAGTGGAGGTCATTATAAATTCTAGTAAGACCCTAATGTTAAACTAAAGTGGAGTTAATTATAAATTCTAGTTGGACCCTAATGTTAAACTAAAGTGGAGGTAATTAAAAATTCTAGTAGGACCCTTATGTTAAACTAAAGTGGAGGTAATTATAAATTGTAGTAGGACCCTAATGTTAAACTAAAGTGGATTTAATTATAAATTCTAGTAGGACCCTAATGTTAAACTAAAGTGGAGTTAACTATAAATTCTAGTAGGACCCTACTGTTCAACTAAAATGGAGTTAATTATAAATTCTAGAAGGACCTTAATGTTAAATTAAAGTGGAGTTAATTATAAATTCTAGTTGGACCCTAATGTTAAACTAAAGTGGAGGTAATTAAAAACTCTAGTAGGACCCTAATGTTCAACTAAAGTGGATTTAATTATAAATTCTAGTAGGACCCTAATGTTCAACTAAAATGGAGTTAATTATAAATTCTAGAAGGACCTTAATGTTAAATTAAAGTGGAGTTAATTATAAATTCTAGTAGGACCCTTATGTTAAACTACAGTGGAGGTAATTATAAATTCTAGTAGGACCCTAATGTTAAACTAAAGTGGAGGTCATTATAAATTCTAGTAAGACCCTAATGTTAAACTAAAGTGGAGTTAATTATAAATTCTAGTAGGACCCTTATGTTAAACTAAAGTGGAGGTAATTATAAATTCTAGTAGGACCCTAATGTTCACCTAAAGTGGAGTTAATTATAAATTCTAGTAGGACCCTTATGTTAAACTAAAGTGGAGGTAATTATAAATTCTAGTAGGACCCTAATGTTCACCTAAAGTGGAGTTAATTATAAATTCTAGTAGGACCCTAATGTTAAACTAAAGTGGAGTTAATTATAAATTCTAGTAGGACCCTAATGTTAAACTAAAGTGGAGGTAATTATAAATTCTAGTAGGACCCTAATGTTAAACTAAAGTGGAGGTAATTAAAAATTCTAGTAGGACCCTTATGTTAAACTAAAGTGGAGGTAATTATAAATTCTAGTAGGACCCTAATGTTCACCTAAAGTGGAGTTAATTATAAATTCTAGTAGGACCCTAATGTTCAACTAAAATGGAGTTAATTATAAATTCTAGAAGGACCTTAATGTTAAATTAATGCGGAGTTAATTATAAATTCTAGTTGGACCCTAATGTTAAACTAAAGTGGAGGTAATTAAAAATTCTAGTAGGACCCTAATGTTCAACTAAAGTGGATTTAATTATAAATTCTAGTAGGACCCTAATATTAAACTATAGTGGAGTTAATTATAAATTCTAGTAGGACCCTAATATTAAACTATAGTGGAGTTAATTATAAATTCTAGTAGGACCCTAATGTTCACCTAAAGTGGAGTTAATTATAAATTCTAGTAGGACCCTTATGTTAAACTACAGTGGAGGTAATTATAAATTCTAGTAGGACCCTAATGTTAAACTAAAGTGGATTTAATTATAAATTCTAGTAGGACCCTAATGTTCACCTAAAGTGGAGTTAATTATAAATTCTAGTAGGACCCTTATGTTAAACTACAGTGGAGGTAATTATAAATTCTAGTAGGACCCTAATGTTAAACTAAAGTGGAGTTAATTATAAATTCTAGTAGGACCCTAATATTAAACTATAGTGGAGTTAATTATAAATTCTAGTAGGACCCTAATGTTAAACTAAAGTGGAGGTAATTATAAATTCTAGTAGGACCCTAATGTTAAACTAAAGTGGAGTTAATTATAAATTCGAGTAGGACCCCTAATGTTAAACTAAAGTAGAGGTCATTATAAATTCTAGTAGGACCCTAATGTTAAACTAAAGTGGAGTTAATTATAAATTCTAGTAGGACCCTAATGTTAAATTAAATTGCATTGAAGCTTCAGTGATCTCTGAAGTTTCACAACTTTATTACACAGTTCCTATACATTTTTCAAATAGTGTGTAGAAACCTTTCGTTTTTCGCTGCTAGCTATTGATCCAGTTCCTGCAAAAGACATTAACGTTCCTAGCTAGACCCTTCATCTGATTAAAATCAATCTCTGTCACATTCTTTTTGATTTCCACATTGTAACAGATTCATTTATAGAATGCTGTATGTAGAGGAAGTGCCATTTTAACATTTGGTTTGGTGAAATGTTGGGTTCACATATAACTCAAATCTAATGTGATCTCGACTTTTTCTTTAACCATTACCGGACGGGAACCCAGCCCAGTCGGTATCTCCAAGGCTTAGGCAGGTCACAATGTCATCCATAAATTACAATATCAGCAAAGGTCACTCTCCCAGCAGTGACAAGTTTGCATCAGTCTTCATTTTGAATTTCAGTCTGTAGAATATATAGGTGCCCAGATTTATCACCAAACCTTGTCAATACACAAGGAGTGTGTTGTAGAAATAGGTCCAGATTTATCACCAAACCTTGTCAATACACAAGGAGTGTGTTGTAGAAATAGGTCCAGATTTATCACATAACCTCCTGGTCTACAAAAGGAACATTTTCTGTCCAGACTGTCTGTATAATCTTTATCAGTAGATAAACTCATGTAGGAATAATTTGATTATACACACAGTCTGTTTCCAAATATGGCCTTCCTTTGTGAAGTCTGATAAAAAAGTGGAGATGGATTTGACAAATCAGATTAACAACAGTAATAGCATAAATATCACTTGTTGTAATGTCGTACATGTAATTGCTGACAACATCATACACTCAATGTAGAAACCATACATCACAGTGACAACATCATACACTCAATGTAGAAACCATACATCACAGTGACAACATCATACACTCAATGTAGTGAACATACATCACAGTGACAACATCATACACTCAATGTAGTGACCATACATCACAGTGACAACATCATACACTCAATGTAGTGACCATACATCACAGTGACAACATCATACACTCAATGTAGTGACCATACATCACAGTGACAACATCATACACTCAATGTAGTGACCATACATCACAGTGACAACATCATACACTCAATGTAGTGACCATACATCACAGTGACAACATCATACACTCAATGTAGTGACCATACATCACAGTGACAACATCATACACTCAATGTAGTGACCATACATCACAGTGACAACATCATACACTCAATGTAGTGACCATACATCACAGTGACAACATCATACACTCAATGTAGTGACCATACATCACAGTGACAACATCATACACTCAATGTAGTGACCATACATCACAGTGACAACATCATACACTCAATGTAGTGACCATACATCACAGTGACAACATCATACACTCAATGTAGTGACCATACATCACAGTGACAACATCATACACTCAATGTAGTGACCATACATCACAGTGACAACATCATACACTCAATGTAGTGACCATACATCACAGTGACAACATCATACACTCAATGTAGTGACCATACATCACAGTGACAACATCATACACTCAATGTAGTGACCATACATCACAGTGACAACATCATACACTCAATGTAGTGACCATACATCACAGTGACAACATCATACACTCAATGTAGTGACCATACATCACAGTGACAACA